TGCGGGGCTCGAACCCGCGACAGCCAGATTAAGAGTCTGGTGCTCTACCGACTGAGCTAACCGGGCCACGTCGGGACTACCTCTCGACCGATCTAGAAAATTGTGACTTTTCCATAGATTTTACATATAAACGAGTGGGTGAAGGGAAGGGTATGGGCGCACGTACACCGAATAAGCAGTGGGTACTAACCTGAGGCATGCAGCCCAGGATCAAAGGACTTTGCATAATTGCACTAGCATGCAAAAGGATTCCAATAAAATTACTAACATGGAAAAGTGCCTCACTGATTTCTGGCGGTCTTGATATTTTTGATAAATATTTCACTGTTCGTTTTCACAATTTACCTCAAAATGCGCTGAAATAGCAGTTTTTGTTTCCTATGCCGCGTTCAAATCCTTTAACACCTTTTTGATAATGCGCCTTTTTGGCTGGATTTGACATTTTCGGCTGGTTTTTCCAAATTTTTGTCATCCTTTAGAGCAGTTTTAGCATTCACTAAATTCAAAAAAAAGGTTTTTGAGGTATATTCTGGTGAAAGGCCCTAATACGAGGCCACTTGAAAATTTTACATGCGGATCTAGGAAGGATCAGTTGTCACAAAAAGGCAAGTTATATCCTTCGCAAGCAAGCTCTGAATGAGTGTCCGTGATTCGAAGCTGTCTTTGAAGAAATCAGTCTCTTTCGTTTTGTTGATTCGATTTGCTGGGAAATTGCTACTAATGCAGCCGAGGAGAATGCTGGGATTTCTCTCGGACTGCTTCATAAACAATCTTCGAAGAAGGGCACCGAGTAATGAACAGCTTTGTGTGCGGCTGTTTTCCTCTGCTCAAGTGCTGCTAGCATTCAAGATACACGCAAAATGTCTTCGTTAGTCTGAGAAGGGGATTTGTCCAAATTCGTCACTTAAATGTCGCAGCATGACATTTCTGTTTTGTTTAAAATGACTTTTGACAATTATTCTCTAGTTTTAACAATATTCATATACACTACAGACTTCGTATACTTTCGACGGGAATATATAAAAACTTCTGAATAACAACAGAGGTATCTACCAGAACTCTTGGCCAGCGATGTTCTTGGCCCTCCCTAACTGGCCTTCCTAATTCCTTAGTACTACATTTACCACTTATAACTGCCCCATACCTGAGCAATGGTACTTTGACGGGTTTCAGACTAAACAGCTGTTGTTTCATCGTCATGTCTCTTCTCGCCACTGGCATTGCAAATCTTTTCCATTCTGCTCGCAAATGCTACATATTCCACAATGCAGTGGTTCTCAACCCGGGGTCAATGGCCCCCAGGAAGCCGCGAAATGGTTAGTAAGGGGCCACGAAGGCAGACAAACAAGTGATGAAATGAGAAGGATTGCATTAAATTTCAGCGTAAAAATCGGTAACAAATTCGCACTTAGCACATTAAAGCACCACGAAAACCCCATTTGCAACAATTGTATCATATTATCATATTAGGCATATATTATATATATATATACATGCATATATATTAACAGATTAACTCATCTCCTCGTCTCGCCAAATTTGAAGACCCTTCATGAAAAAACTGAAATAATTATTTGATGCAGTCTAATGCTCTAAGTCTTTAATTAAGTCTCGCTGAGCAGCTGCGGCAAAAGGTACTTAAAAAGAGGATCGCGACTGCAAAACTCATTTGGTAAAAATGTCAGTGGTAAAAAAAAGGTTGGGAACCACTGCCACAATGAATACCATCGTTCCTGTCATTAACAACAGCAGTGTTGTAGTTCAGTGCTGAATTAAAATTCAGTGATTTCAGGTTAGCGGTCTGGCTCTGGTTATTGCTGGTGCAGTACTGGAACTAAAATACACTGGCCTACTGGATATATTAGGCGATAAGCGGCTAGCAACTCCGATACTACTTCTCTGTGCTGGTGCGCTCTGCTCTTTGCTCGGCTTCCTGGGATGCTGCGGAGCAATCCGGGAAAATTACTGCCTAACAGTCAGTTTTGCGGTACTGCTGGCTCTGGTACTGATGATTGAAACTGCCGCTGCAATAGCTGCATATGCACTACACGAACCGTTGCAGGTCTCAGATTACTTACTTTTAACCTTCTGGTTTTTTTTGATGAAACGCAGTAAACATTTTTTGCATTTCTTTGCACAGTAGATAAAAAATATTAATGATGATATGTATAAAATATTTTTAAAAAGAATCAGATGAGAAAGTTTGCTGATATGGTGTTTGGCTCAGTTGACTATATGCTGATGGGATTATTGGTTTTTAGGAATAACTAGCTGCACGAATGCTTTTTTATTAACTGTTTAACATAGAAAATTTTAGACTTCACTATCACAGCAATTGACATTGGGTCTGGCGCGGTACAATCGTTCGGCGGGCGTACGCATTGCCTGGGACCAAACTCAGAGTCAGTTCTCGTGTTGTGGAGTGCACAATCACACGGACTGGAACACGCCACCGGATTCTTGCTGCGTGCACGTGGTGCCTGGATGTGCTCGAAATGAGCAAAATCTGTATTCTTCCGGTGCGCTTTCAATGCCTCACATATTTCATTTTTTCCAAATTTTTTTGTTTTTTTTTTTCTTTTTTTGCACAAGAAATGCGTCGCTTTATTTATGCTTGCTTATCCTTTTTTACAGTTAAGCGATGTACCTCTGGCAAATTTAAAAGGAAAAAAAACGCTCTGACAAGGTTTTCCATCGAATCAAAATTTTTCGAATCTTATTCTCGATTTTTTTTCTCGGCACTCTTGGAGGCATTGATGGAATTTGCGCCTATAAGCAGTCCTTTTACATGCAGTCTCCGGCTGGAAATTTTAGCGCATATTACAAAATACCTATATTAGTAACCGGATTCCCTAGTATTCTTGATATCCTCCGGTTTTTTAAAAGGAATTAAATTTGCTACCTCTTAACAATACCCGGTTTCTTAAACCTCAGTTCTTTCTAAACCAAGACGACTAGTCAGTAAATTGACTCGATTTTGCTAATGTTACCGGCACACACAATTACACGATCCTTCGATTCTCAGTCTCTAGTCTGTATCAACTGCCTTCATATTTGTAAGCATTAACTTTTCAGAGGTTGCCTGAGCAGTTTTTTTCATTTTGTTTGTTATTACTGCGTAGTGATAAAAGATTTCCATCAGTTTATAGCAAGGCGAGCAAAAACTTTTCAGCTCATTGCTTGGTATACTTGTATTCCCAGCTGCTAATTCACAACCCGGTCTTCATTTCCATAGTTTTTTTGACCAGGGCTGCTTCACTCGACTGTCATTCTTCTGAAGATCCTGAGATTCGTCTTGCCTATTGTAGTTTAAATCACTAAACGCATTTTTTTAGTGCTTTCAAATTTGAGTTCCGATTCATAGGGTTTCATTCGATCATCCTGCAAGTCATTTTTTTCACCTTTTGGCGGCCATTTTCAAGCAAAAACATTTTTTGCTGGCCTGCTTAATCGGTAAAAAATGAAGGGTTTTAAAATTTTACCAGTTTCTGATGTTTCAAAATGCTCGAGGAGCAAATAGCAGGATGGTGTTCTGCCAGCTCAGCTATGATTGTACCGACAGGATTGATATGAAATCGCCTTTAGCCACAAAGAAATTATAAATATCTTCATTCTTTGTGAATTTGATGCCGCCGACTATAAATTTTCAAATTTTTTATTCTTTGGATTTTTTTCTGGCACAGAAAATTTTTCTTAGCGCCACAGCTGTGATTTGGTCTAGTTTCGGATATCTGAAAATAAAAAATGAGAAATGATCTTGCTCCTGTATTATTTCATTTGAGCAGAACATTATTACTCGTCTTGCTCACAACCGGTTAGGTACTTGTGAGTGGTGTTCACGAGAAAGTAAGCGACTGCTCGAGCAGTTTTTGAAGAGATGGCATACACTGAACGGGTGAAGATACTAACTGGAGGTAGCGGTTCAGTGGTGAAAGGCTTAGCAGCATGTGGAAGCATCCCAGTAACATTACTAATGAAGGACAGATACCGGATGTGTGAGCACTTTCGGTATTTTGTTATTTTGTCTTTAATTTATCTAAGTCTTTTAGTTATTTAATTTTCGTTTCGTTGTTTTAGCTAATTATAATTTGAATACGAATGAAATGTTCTGGCATGGGTTACAGTGCTTTTCTGGCGCTTGTAAAAATTCGTAAAGCTTTCATTGGAGAGTAAAAATTTTTATGTACTCCGAAAGATGGAATGTATCTTGCGCAAAAAACATCCTGTTTTTAGCCGACAAGTCATTACAGGTTGTATGGAGCGTGTGGAGCAGTGGTTGATTTTGAATGCGGCACTTGTTGGCGGTGTAAGTGCAACCGTTGGCTCGTTGCAAGTGATCGGTATTTGTTTCGCGTGCTGCTTATCCAAATCAATCCTCAAGGATTTTCATGATTATTATTACTGATCTCGACAAGCACTGATTTACTGGCAATGCAATATGCCAGTTATTCGTGCGCACACATTTTTACCGCAATCCTATATCTACCAGAACACTTGGGTGGATAGGCTTTGTATACAAATTCAGCGCTAAGTTTGTTATTGCTATGCTTAGAAAAGAAATAAAATGTGACACAGTGGAACTTTACTTTAGTCAGTTTGCTTCGGAAGTTACTCTTGAAAGAGGAAACCACCGACAGTCTCAACAGCGAGTAGATGCTGTAGAAACGCGTTGTGCTAAGACTCGGTGTACTTTCGAGTATTTTTCTTCTTTTCAGTTACCATTGATAAAGTTTTGACTTTTAACTTTGTCTGTTTGCCGTTTCGTGACTGCATTACTCCTCATAATCGAAATGATTGGTTAATTATATCATTCTGGACAAATCCAAGTTCCCTTCGTCCACATAATTCGGTATGCACATTTAACGCTAGTGGGGTCCCAATTCAGTTAGGATTCAGTTAGGATGTGTGAATCGTGCTATTCAGCTGATTTCTTGAGTGTAATTGTTATCATTCTGTGCATATATAGATAAATCTATCGTTATGCACTAGGTCGTCAGACCAACTAAAAGCTACTGCTTCTCCAGGACGAACTTGAAAGTGCCGCCTGTGAGGCAGTTTACGTGACTCAAATCGAAGCCCAAGTAAATTGAATCAATAGGAAAAAAGAAACTTAATCTCCAAATTTTTCGACATTTTGGCGTTGGGATGGAAAGCAATACTTGGATGGCTGTCGGAGAGATGGTGAGTTAACATACTGGAGAAAGATATTCAGATGTAGCTCAGGACGTAAGATCTTTACTGCTCTCGACGCACGCCTGAATCTACATAATATCAAGAACCCTGTATTACGAGTTCTCTAGATATGACTATAGCTTAAAAAAGTCCAAAAATTGATCTCAACAAGGTGATACACGAAGAAAAGCTGGTCTCTTGTGTTCACTGAGTGAAAGATTATTTCTTTTGTTCAGAGAATTGGAACTGATAAACACAAAAGCGGTCGTCGTCACAACTACGGGGTGAAATGTTTCAATTTTTTGAAAAAAAAATTTACGGGAATTTTTTGCTGCCCATGATTGATTGCTATTTGAATTTTACGATAAGTGACACCTGGCCTTCTCCTGTCATAAAAAATTTGTTAAAACTGCTTTAGTGAAAATTATTACAGCGCCAAAAATACGATTGGTCTTGTAGTTATTGCATTTTAAGATCGCAGCTGATCAAAGCGTATTAAATCAGATTATCTTTTCGGAATTTCTCCAGAAAAATCTACACAAAAAAACCCCGACAGTTTCCATAACTCCAGAACAAATTTCTGAGGGATTTACAACATTCTAAAGCATAGAAAGAGTTCAAATGAAAGAACATGTTGAGTTTCTGATGGCCGTTGACCAACGATAATGTTTTTTTATAAATCCTATCAGGTTAGGACAACTTTCTCAAAATATATGAAAACTGGAAGGCAGAAAACGTAAAAGCCCGCTAGAATTGTCAGCGGAATGCCCCCAAGGCCGCCTGGGAGTGGTCACTTCCCCTCTTGTCATACCATTCAGCGATATGCGACGTCCACTAATTGTAGCAAAGTAGCATGTTTCATCCGTCCAACTTTACTTTTGTGCACGTTCGCAATAATATTTCGCACGTAGCTCCTCTGACGGAGAGTCTGATTGATTGTGCGATCATGCTGAGACACTCCAAGTATCACTCGCTTCACTGCTCTCTTCGTCACAGCCAACGCGAACTCTTCAGCTTTCGTAAGTGGTTGAGTTTCGCATTCGTACGTCACTCCTTTTAGCACATTATTGAAGAGGCGGGCACAGTCTTTTTGATTGAAAAGTTTGCGGATATCACTGATTCTGTGAAATCTCATTGCTGTTTCAGTCGCAACACATGTGTGGGCATTTTTATAGCAATTTCGCAGTGAAAAGCAATAATGAATTTGCAAACGCTCCGCATATACAACAAAATTACGAGGAAAACTTTGTACAGTAAAAAATGACAGCAAATAAAAAGAGCACTAAGCAGCAAATGTATGTATTATGAAGACAAATAACACCCTGCTTGCATCTGGAAACGAGAAGATGGCAAAGACAAATTGTCACAGAACTGAACGAGGAAAAAAAAAGAAAATACCTTGTGTGGAGCAAGTATAAAATGGAGCAATTTGATGGAGACATTCCAAAATAGCTTGTGTCAGCATCCTATTTTATATACAATGCCAGTAGAGCGACATACTGTCACCACGACAGTTTTGCTCAAAATGAAAATTGTGTTGTGATCCCTTTCAGGAGCCTTTTAAAACTTGGCCCTGACACAATGCCACTAAATTGAACCCACAAATGAACAAAAGTATCTAGGCCATATTCAGAGTTGCCCTCAATGTCCCCATAGTATGTGGCTAAGTCAGCACTGTCTACTTAAACCAAAGTTCTGTAACCAAGCTGTACACTGACCAAGAATGCCAAGAGACTTATTTGTTGGTTGACGGAGATTTTCACAGCCAATCTCAGAGCCAACAAAAGTATTAAGATTAGCAAGCTGCCTAAACAGGATTTTTTCAGACGCCTTTGCTCCCCTATTCAATTCATCTTTTTTTTCCTTTGCCGCCATCATCCTCGTCTTTTGTCCCTTAATCCCTACACGTATTTAACTGGACGGTGACAGTATATCGGTAGGACGGGAAGCAACAATCAAGAAATCTGCAAAGGAAAAAACAACATGGCATACAAATTATACATATAAAATACAAGAGGAAAAGAGGTGAGAGGTGCGATTTGTAACGGACAAATGAGTCTAGAAAAGCGCGGGATTTGATCCTCGCACAAATTACCGACTCGCATGGATTAATAGCATACTAGTCCAAGCATCTTGACTTCTGGCCAACGAAGTCTGCATAGTAGCCCGTCGGAATTTAGAAAACTACATCCCTCAGTTAAAGGAGAAAAGTCATGAAAATATTCTTTTGAAGTAAAAAATCGACAATGTGGGAAAAGATTCATAAATTACCGTGGATGGCAAAACTTGAAAAATTAATCTCAGAAGCTGACAGTGCCCGTATCGGGAACGCTGTTTAAGAGTAGCCATAAATCAGGTCAAAAATCCTTTCAAATTTTGCTCTCTGCGAAAAACAAATGCATTCAAAAGTAGCTCGGGAGATTTTACGTGTCCAAATAGCAACCGCTCTCTGACAAAACTGTCGATAATGTGCTCGATAAAAGTGCAAATAAATCCCAATTCCCTCACAAATATTTTCTTTTTCCTTCTGGTCCGTAAAACAAGTTATAATAGCAACTCCCGCCGTATGGTAGCAACACTACTAACATGAGATACCCGAATGGACTGTCCGGGCGGTTTTGATATTCTAGGTAATATTACAGTGCACAGTTAGTAAAGTAATTTCGGTGGAATAATCCATATAGTATGATGGTATCCAGGAAAGGTAACATTCGTGACGAGGTGGTGATGTTAAATACCAAACAAAAACATCTCGAAGCGACTAAAATCATGCATACTCTTAGCAGAAAACAGTTCCGTTGCTGCTAATCTCACCACGAGACAAAACACGTGTTGAGGTCATCAGGAGACTGACGAACAGGGGATGTAGCACAAATGCAAAAATTACCGGTTTTTCTAATTTAGTATATGTTATTTCCGAACTGCTTTTTTTTAATGTAAGAAAAAACAGGTGCAATTTCCACTACTCCTTTTTTCAGTTAGAAAGAAAGGAAGAAAAAAAAGAACGTTAAAAATATTTCTAGAAATGAGGGAAGCAAGTATCTGAGGGATCAAATGCGAAAATAAAATTTTCAAAGGGCTGTTATTACTGGAAGGCGAGTTGATAAATGATTTGGTACGAAATGTAGCTCCTCAAATTTTTAGAAAATATAGACTTTCTTTGACTTCTTCTTCAAACATTTTGAGCAGATTTTGAAATAAATCGGGCAAAACTACGAGCTGACAGTGCAGACAGTTGGCATCTCGGAAGCAGGCTATTACTCTTCCCTCAGTGAAGATGACCAGACAGCTCATCTAGGCAATCAATTATCAAGTCGAGCAATTATTTTTCAGAAAAAAAAATAAATTGGCTAACTGTACAACGTAACAATGAAGTAAAGATAACAATTTTTTTTTACAAATCACAATGAATACATTTGCCGAAAGCGCGTTCGATCCGGAAAAAAACAACAAAGTTCAAGTCATATTCCTACTTGCTCCTCCCTACCGAAATACAGAACATACTATACTCGCCTCTGCCGCAAATACTGTTTTAACAATCCAAGCCCAAAATCTGCTCTCTCTGAGAGACACAAGCAGTCGGGAAGTAGCTTGGGTAGTAGCAATATCAAGAGCAGCCACCAGATGGCAAAAATATCAGTGACTCATTCTTTCGAGGTTTGCGTACATGCAAGTCCTTGGTATATGTCAGTGTCGATTTACAGTTGAAAGGAAAGTACAGAGATTGGTTTTCTCATAGGCGGAATCGAACCACCGTTCTACTGCGAGACAATAATATTACTTTTCACTGCGCGATTAATCAGTTTCCCTTTTGATTGCCGAGATGGATTTGAACTCCTGTTCTCAATAACAGGCAACGGCGTTGGCCGATATTTTAGGATCGACTAACCCATACTCAACTGCTGTTCACGTGGAACTCTTCTTCACTCCAGTTTTCAAGGATCTCACTTGAATATCTGCTACTACCACCAAAAATTCAGCCAAGCCTACGTCCAAAGCCTTCAACACAAATCATTGTGGCCCTCTTACTCGTTGCGGTCACAGTTGAAAGGAGCGTAGAGAGATTGGCTGTCTCATCGTCGGAATTGAACTCCCGTTCTACCGCGAGACAACAATACTACTTCCCGCTGCACGATGCCTCTCGATGCTTTGGTAATAGGAACATACATTTCCTGGACCCCAAAGAAGCTCAGAGTAAAACATCCTAGTTGACGATTAACATTCGATGGCAGCTAATGAACCCTTGTTGGTACCTGAGATCGGCCGTGTACAATGCGTGCATATGCTTGCGTGTAGCTGTTTAACGTTTTACTGCTACACACCCACACAGCACACGTTATACCGACCACAAGCTGCATTAAATATTTGAAGAAATATATTACCAGGTCCGGAGGCCTGATATCTTCCTGCGGTGCACACGTATGACGTGGCTGCGCAAAGCCAAAAACCGCACGATCTGGCCGAGCGCATCGTATCGCCAACCAGTTGGCCAGCCAACTTTCCATCATTAGCGCTTCGTAAGCAATACAAGCGGCACTGACCGCTGTCGGAAGCGTATACATAAAAGCAAACGCCGATATTCGTAGCATCAACTTCTCCAACTTCCGGATATTCTGGTCAATATCGCTGTGCTTGAATTTAATGTACCGACGTATTCGTAGCATCGAGATGATACCACATCCTAGCAACAATAAACCGAGTGCTGAAACAGGATTTCAATTACAAACATCAAGCGTAAATTCATCTTTTTATTTTTTATGACAACAAACTTCAAAGGCTCTTCAAACTTAACAAAACCATCGTACTGACGAAGTCCAGTTGTGCTGCTGAACAGGAATGTATATAACTTAATAGAATGAGGCGCTCTTGTCAAACTGTTTGTTTCTATAATATACTTTTATTTTTTATAATATATGCATATATCATCGCTAACATTCTTTGCCTACTGTTTTTCAGGACAAACGGTTTCTCACATTAGCATTACAGTCTTTTCCACATATGTATTAGTTCTGTCAGCCTTTGTACATTTGCGTCGACACATTCACTATCAGCTTCTTCGCATTCCTTCCCACAGTCTTTTTAGGTGATAAAGTGTATAAGCACTAATGGCTTCCTCAACTTTCGACACTTTTTCCTCCTCCCGTACTTCACTCATATTTCCTGCGGCATTCAAATTACCATCAGACCTATCGCATTTCATAAATTCAACACATAATTTTTAATAAAAGAAAGAGAAAACGGCTTACCGATGCAAGCGAACATTGGTACGAAAACAAAATTAAGTAAGGCGGATGGCTTGAGATTGCCGATGGAACAAATTCCAGTGAACAAATCGCCATCGATACTGCTGGTGACAAGAACGGCGATCGCTAGGAAGGCAGGAATACCCCAAGCAAGCACATGGAAGTATGATGATAAGCTATCAATTGATTCCTGAGCCCATTTCAGATTCGCTGCCAGGAACCATGCCAAACACAAGATCACCCACCACACACTGCTTGCCGTACTGAAAAGCTTTTTCAAATTCAAAGACGGATAAAAAACCATAAATGATTTTAAAAAACAATTAAAAAAACGGATAATTCCAAAAACTGTTATTTAACCAATAAATATCCGGGGATGACACTACGAATTTAACTAGAAGAAGTACCGATAATTATTTAACATATAAAATGGTAAGCTATTCATTTTGGTTTAAGTAGAATTATAAACGCTATTCAAGGAATAGGTATTGGCGAACAGCGAATTGCATTGGAAATCCTATCAAAAATAGAAATTATAGTATACAGTTTAGCTGAGATGTCGCGTTTCGATCTAAAGCAAAGCCATGAAAACCTAGGTAGCGGAACTGCCAAACGAAGCGCTCATATTTGGATGACAAAATTCACAAAATGAAAAAAACAAAAAAAAACTCGTGAATGAGGAATGCAGCGCTTTCATGAATGCAATGCTTTATCCTGGATCGCCTCTACCTCAACACTTTTGCGGACCGCATCTCAGCTTAGACTGCATTGCAGCTGCAGAAATATGCCCCAAACTCAGCACAGTCCTCGGGATGCTCATGCGCGGGGAAATTTTGGATCCGTCGGATGCCAACATCTTTTATAGAATGCAATCCAAAGATGCTGAACATCGATGACTTAGACATTAATTCAAAGAATCCAGAAGCAAACTTCTCCTCAGTGTATAAAGTGTGAGCAAATTTTCTGACATTGCATTCAGCTAGTATTTGCAACATTGAAGGAAAAAAAAAATTTGTTTAAAATTCTTTCTCCAGTACATCAATCATGGGAAAAAGACAAGCAAAAAAAAACCCTTTTCGCTAGACGAAGAAAAAACTTTTCTCGTTCTTTTGGTTAAAAAAAAAAAACTTTGCAGAAACTAGCTGTTTTAAAAAAGTGTTCGAAAAGAAAATTTATTTTAAAAAATTTTTAAAATAAATTTCTTTTCGAACGATTTTTTGGTTGGTACATCGAAATGAAGAAAAAAGAAAAATGTTGCGTGTTCTTAACGTAGTCAGTTCTTATCTATATTACCTTCGAAATTATCAAAAACTTCCTGCATATTCGTCACCGTCGCTGGTGGCTTTACGAAATTAGGCTGGCTTTTAGAAAAGTAATAAACTAGAGCTTCCAGATGAAATCATTTCACTGAGATGTAACTGACAGATCCTTTTTAGACAAATTTTTTTGTATGAAAAATGAAAAGCTTAGGAACAAAAGTAGTCTTTTAAGACAAATTTCTTTAGGAAAAAAGTGAAGAGCTCAAGCTCATGAGTACCAATTTTTATGGATAACAGATTGATGGACAAAAAATTATATTGTTGCAAACAAACTTGAAGTAGTAATGGGTGATCGCAACAATAGTGCACGGGAAATGATCGATGCCCTGCGAAACGAGCGGTGTATTGCTGGCCGATATAGCGGAGCAGGATATTTTATCTTCGGCCACCAATCCGACCATATAGACGAACGATATGAACAAATAGCACAGTGCCAGGTAGAAGATAGGCCTGACCGGATACGGGAAGCGAGCCATATCAATTGAGAATGTCAGCACTGTGAACAGCGAGCTAGCGCAACATGCCACTGCCCAGGCACCTGCAAATAGCCAAAGTACCACTGATATTCCTGAGGTTTAGGCCTTGAATTTGATATTCACGGGGAGTGGACACTTCTTTAGAATCCTGGTGGCTCACCTGTCCAGAATCGCAGATATCGTCTGATGCGCGTGTCGAAGAACATCGGTACAAGATTATCAGCTGAACACGGCAACGAGCACTGCTCCAGTGTTGTGTTCGAGATTTTCAACGAGTACTTCGCTTTGCTAATGACCTGTACGTAAATTTGCATCAGTTATGAGTGCGTATAAAATTCGCCTAACAGGAAATGCTGAACATATGACCAATAGCCTCTAAATGTTGTGTAGCTACGACGAAATATTTTTGGATGCGCCCGTCTGTACTAAAAGATGAGTGTACGTATGCGCAAATTGGGAGTATATTTTTTGAAAATAATTTTTAATCCTGCTTGTACCTAGCGAGTAAATTGGTGATGCGAAAGGCAATGGATCACTGATTTTGAATCACCCAAAAAGTAGAAGTGGAAAAGATCGAAAACTGAGAAAAACTCAAGTCCGAAAAGTGAACCGCTATTTGGATTTCATAAATCAGCTTAAAGGACATAAAGCTGAAAACGGCTAAAAAAATAATTCAGTGAAAATTATGCAACAGATGCCCATTCGTTGCGTATGCGGTATCTCTTATCTAGCTGACCAATTGAACAATTTATTATATACTTATGAAGATAAAAAGTTGCAAGCTGCATGGGTGAAAATGTCCAAAACGGAACAGATGGTTGCTGTAGGCCAAAAAGAAAGGAGAACTGGAAACATCCTCAGCTAAATCTACAGCACGAAGAAACGCAGTTCTGAATTACGGTTGTTTGGAGTAATTGAGTAAAGTAAATCAAAAAAGTCAAAACCTCCTCCATAATTACCAACAGTGAAAAAGGGAGGCACTCGCAAGTAGCCCGAGCGATAGCAAGTGACAACAGCAACCAACTGCTAGCAAGACTGCCGATGAGTCTATCTTTCGAGAATTTTTTTATGCTTATAAATGAAAAGAGACCACAAAAAGTATACCTGCATAGTATGCGGGCATTCAATATGCGTAGTGGCCCGGGAACGTGGATACGGTGCCTCAGTACTGGCATCAGACTTATTCTCGCCCACACACATCCCATCTACCGGAAAGCGTTCACAGGCCAACAATGGCGGCCATTTGAAGCCAAATTTGTTCATCAAATTTTCGCATCCATTTTTTGCCGATAGGCATAGATGGCGGCATGGTGGAATCGGGCGACCGAGCACTGTACACACCGGGGCATAGATTGTGCAGAGGAAAAATTTCAAATCCTCGCTACATTTCACCTGAAATGCGAAACTACGTCGGGTACCGGACGTGTGTTGTCTGCTTCACCTTTACTTATCATCATTAGTTATTAGAGTAACTGCTTTCATCTTCTCTGCGAGCCGTAAGTAAGTTCAAGTGACCAGAAGTTTGGTGTTGGTTAAACAGCAAGTGTCCTCCCCTTCCATCTGGGGCCCCTTGCTCCCCGTCCCCACCGACACCTCTGATTATTTTGACACGGATTTTTACGGCGCTGATTTCAGGATACCAAGTGCTTTTTTAAAATGTCATGGGTAACTACATTATTTAACTCAGTATCACGAAATCCAGAACCTCAATTTTCACACAAAACAATCAAACAGCCAAGCCAGAGCGCTAGAATTCTGCCAGTAGCAAACATCTGCAGGCAAAATTGTTGATAGCCTTTTCTACTACGATTTCTAGAGAACCTGTTGAATACCTAAGTCCTTTAAATCACAATTCCTGTTAATATACTACTGTAATGAATTGCGTAATCATATATAGACTAATTCTCTCAGCTAAAACTTCAAAGCAGGAACAAGAAGCTTTGGTGCAATATCGCTGAGGACTGCTGCAAGATTCGAGAGGATTTCCAAAGATAATTACAGTCAGCAAACACTAGCTCATAAAAACTGACGTACCAAGCTCAAGTTTTGGTTAGAAATAGGCTCATGACACGTGCTTCTGAATGCCCATTATAGAAACAAATTCTCATTTTTGGTCTTACTTTAACAAGAGGTAAAAATTGATGGATTTCGAGGGATGCATCTTCCTCCTTGGTATGTCCCAGGATATTTGGGAACAGAGTCATGTTGTATGGTATATCGCGACACATTTGCATCGTTATCGGCACGCATTTCTCGTTTATTGCTGCATTCTGAAAAAGAGATTAATTTAAGCAAAAGCAACATTTCGTTGGAAATTCATAATTTTTTCACTCAAAATTTAACGCTCGATCCTTAAGAACCAACGATTTGATAGAAACTTCAGAAATTTTATTTAATTCCAATTGAAAGTTTTTTGCCGCAAAATACACTGATTCTCTTCCCAATTTCCCTATCGCCAAGCCGAACATTAAGATTTTATTACCGATGTGCATCTATAGCCGAAATTTTGTAAAGTAGTTGAAACTTAAACTCTTAAAAAATGCCGATCAAACCAGTCATGTAATTCCCATAAAGTTTCCGCAAATTTGCTGAGAAGGTAATTTTAGAATAAAGTCGAAGGATAATCCCAAGTTACAGGGATTTACGCAGATAAGTAATGTGCTGTTTTTCGTCAGACAGTGCTGTACAGATTTATACCCATTTCTTTTCAAACACGTATAGAAAAAAAAATAAGGCATCGGCTTTTTTTAAACGGCTTAAGTTTTTCACAACCCCTACTAATTTGTCCATCTTGTTCTAATTATGTAATTTCGTTAATTAAAGGGTTACTGAAGATCGAAAAAGTAACAGATGGATAGGACGCATTAGTGGATGGTACCTATGGGATGTTAAAAGAACAAACAGAAGGCCGTCACTGCGGTAGAAGAATCCGTTTGAACATCCGTATGGAATTATGTGGATGAGAGAGAGGCTCAAAAGAGGGAATGGAAAAATTGTCAGCTGCATTAGTGGAGAGAAGAAATACGATGATGAAACAAAAGCCAATAAAAATGCTACGAGCTGTGATGCATGTAGTATTACGCTGAGTTGTAGCTTTAAGTCGCAAGAGCTGTACTGAAGCTACTATTTTGGTACTCACTAAATTTCTCGAAGCACGAAAATAGATGGATTTTTTTCGGTTATTTAAGCCGCAATGTTTGTGACTGGATTATGCGATTACGTCCATAATCTAAGCAATCCTTTTTGTGGCTTTTCTCTCCACTAAACGGTCTTCTTTTAATCCAGAATAGAGAGTTAACATGTTTCGTATGCAGCTATAAGAATTCCCAAACATATAATACAAATAAAAGTTATCAGCAGATGTTTTGTCATTTACCCGCCGGTCTTTCAAACGTGCTCTCTTCGAAAACGAAATAACAAGGCATTAAAAATTATCAGTAAAATTTATCACCACGTGCTTCATTTTCGGTGTTTTATTTTTCTGTTTCTCCCAGTTTTCTGTGCTATTCATATTAATAATACAAGACAGGGAATGCCTAGCATTCCGCTTTTTTCCCCAGCGCCAGACATCCGCTTTTTATATCACTTATCCAAACATTTCCTCGTTCCAGTGCATTAACATTTTGCCTAATTGATAATATGAGTTAGGAAATGATTCAGGAACGAGTAATTTAGGACAACATGAGGAAATGATATTCAGACTGAGATGCGAGATTTAAATGCTGTGTGTACCGATGGAGACACATCATACAGCAGTAGCCTGTGTTTCATCCCTTAGAACTAAACCTGCTTAATTCTCAAATCCCAGTGAGCGCATCTGACCTCAAAATTTGATTTAGCTCAATTTAGTATTCAAAAGAATATACATACAGACAAGTGGAATATGAATAAGGTTTTTTTTTCAA